AACCTTGTGGAACGCCATATTTAATAACTTTATGTGTGGATTCAAATCCATTAATTGAAACAAACTGAGTGCGATCCGTAATATATGAAGAAAACCAATGATTAGCAATACCACGTATTCCGTAGTAGTTTAACTTTTTTATTAGAATGTTGTGATTAACCGTATCAAAAGCTTTTTGAAGATCTATGAATACACCACAAGCAAAAGAACCACTGTCAATTGCACCACGAATCATTTCAGTAATGCTAATAAGAGCGTGAGAAGTGGAGTGATTTGAGCGAAACCCAAATTGTCGAATATAAAAACAAGCAGAATTATTTAAAAAGTTGTAAATACGAGAATACATAAGTTTTTCTAAAAGTTTGCTGACATTTGATAATAATGAAATTGGTCTGTAGTTATTACATTCAAGTTTTGAGTCTTTTTTGTGAATTGGGATAACAGAAGCAGTTTTTAAAATATCAGGGAATACACCGGTTGTGAATGACAGATTGAATAGTTCAGAAAGTACAGGAGAGATATCATTTGCAAGAGCTTTAAAAATAGGTATTGGAATGCTGTTAGGTCCAGAAGCCTTGCTGTCATTAAGGGAATGAATAATCGATAATTCTTCGTTTTTATCTGTAGGTTTTATGAACATTGAATTAAGATTAGGATTTTTAAGATATTTATCAAAGTCAGTATTGGATGAGTGGATCTTATTCTGTAAATCTTCCGGAACTGAAACAAAGAATGAATTAAAAGATTCCAAAATTTTAATGGGGTTGTATATCATGGAGTTGGTAGAAGATAAGCATGAAGGAGATGAGTTAACTCTCGAACAAATGTTTAAAAGGTTCTTAATACCATTCCATGTAGATTTCAAATTTTTGGCATTGTCAGAGAAGAACTTAGAGTAACGGTTCTTTTTACTACGAAGGGTGAGAGTAACAAGTAAGTTTCTATATGCTTTATAAGATTTTTCTAGATTGAGTTTGTTATTAGGAATCTTTGCTTTAAGAAATTTTTTAAATATTTTATTTCGCATTTTAATAGAAGTCAACATTCCTCGTGTTATCCAAGGTTTGAGACCCCTTGATAAGCAGCGATTGCTGACTTTTTTCAATGGTGCATGTTTATCTACAAGAGAATTGAAACTTGAGAAAAACTCTTCAAATGACTTATTAGTCTTACCTTTGTTGACATTGATTACATTAATCCAGCTAATTTTTGAGAAATCACTACATAACTCGACGCAATTTATTAGTTTTAGATTTCGACGAAAAATGCAGCTTTTACGAGTATTAATTTTGGTTCTATAAAGAGGATGTATTAAAAATTGGGGCAAATGATCTTATACCTTAGAAGTAAAATTACCTGCAAAAATATTTGTAGAAGTTGCATTAGAAAATATGTTATCAATTAGAGTTTTGAAGTGATTTGTGATTCTTGTTGGCAATGAAATAAAGGGAAGAAAGTTATTTAAAGCAATAGTGTCTAAAAATTCAGAGACAGAATTATCTGAGTTTGCTAATAAAAGATCGACATTAAAATCGCCTATTAAAAAAGTAGTTTTGATTATTTCCATAGATAGCTTTTCAAAAAGTGGAATTAAATATGATTTAATAAATTCTGAAATATCCATACTAGGATGGCGATAAATACAGCCAATAATGATGTTTGAATTTTTAGGAATTATGATTTCCACAAACACAGATTCTAAAAGCTTTGGTTTAAGCATATTAAGATCATATCGAAGTTTGTAAATTAATGTACTCGATATATAAAGTAAAGCTCCTCCAAAATAAGATTTTGTCGGAGTGTGCTCATAAACATAACCGGTAAGATTTAATGGGATAGTTGGTAGAATGTCATGTTTGAGTTTAGTTTCAGTTATGCCAATAATACTGAATTTATGATTAATAAGAGATAAAAGTGAGTTTAATTCGTCAAAATTTTTAACAAGAGAAGCAATATTTAGATGAAATAGAGAAAAATTATTTTTTTCGATGTTAGAAGAGTTAAAACTTTCTATGTCCATATATTTACAATTAATAGGGTATTCTTCGAGGTTTACGTCATTGTCATTGTTGTTATTAAGTTGATGGGAAATAAAATCATTAAGTTCATTATAAAGATTAGACTGTATGGTGTTTGGGAAAGATGATATGTTGTTTTCGAATTCATTAATATGAATCACTTTATGTTTAAATTGGTTTGAATCTCTTTGTGAAATCCGATCTTTTTAAATATCTCAATTATATTTTTTCTGACTTTGTCTAACTGTGCGGTAGTTTTTTTGCGCATCACCATCAATCCGTCGTCTCGGTAAAGACCTATATCATTTTTAGTAATGGTTTTGGATAAAGAGTCTAGAATGTATAATCCCACCAGTTCGCATACTTCAGCTCCATCAAAACAACCCATTGTGTGTGTGTATATATATATATATATATATATATATATATATATATATATATATATATATATATATATATATATATATATATATATATATATATATATATATATATATATATATATATGTATATATATATATATATATATATATTAGGGCCAAAAATTTTTTTTTTTGATTTTTGCCTCGTTATACCGCAAATAACCGCAAAAAACTTGTCTTTAGGGTACCTAAGGATAATGCAAAAAAAAAAAAATCATATTTTACGTCAGGAGCTAGCGCATCGCGCTTGAATAATCAAAGAAATTTTCTCTTTACGCATCATTCTATTGCTTGGGTGTGACATGGAAACTGTTCAAAGTTTCATTCAGCCGCTGTTTCACCTGATTAGATCTTTGACCAAATATCTTTATCTGAGACTCTTCGCAGCAAAGGTGGCGGCAAAAGCGTAATAGTGTCTCAACTAATCCTTTCTGTATAGTCGGTAGCAAGAAAATTAATTTTGGGTGGTTGAAAACTCCTCAGAACTTTGTTTGAGAAAGTTCTCAGGAGTTCTTTCTTGCCTTTATAATTCTTCTAAAACCCAATTCCTTAATATGAACCCGTTTGTTCCAATTCCTTAATATGAACTACAATTGTTAAAAGCAAGTTTAATGAATGTGCAAAAAAAGCATTACTCTCAATTTCTGGGTCTTTTACCTTTATCGTTTGGCAGAAATCTTGACAATTTTATCATTTCAAATACATGTTCTACTGCATTTGTAAAGTATTTACTTTATGTTATATGAAACCATCCAGAGACAAATGATTTTAAAAGAAATGATTTCGTGCTCCTCTGTTGGGGTTTTAAGGCCCAAATACAATTGTAAAACTCTGTTTGAATTTTGTTAACCACATTGAGTGTAAAATTGTTCCAGGTTCACGAACGGATAAATCTTCAGAACAACTGCCTGATTTATTAGCAGAACTTCTAACGAACAAGAACTGCTGAACTTTGCTTAAAATTTTGCGGTTAATTTCTGGAATTTCACAATTGACACTGACAAATCAAGAATGTTTATTAAACAAAAAATCGGAATTGATTTCTAAATGCAGGCATGAAAATAAGTTTCTCCTCAAAAACTATAAAAATAAGTGAGCTCAAATAATAGTTACATTAACTCCCCTTTGAAAAAAAAAATTATCTTTTAAAAAAGCTTAAGTAATCATTTCTAAAATATTCCTTTTGCAATAGTGTCAGCAAATTACACAAATGTGTGAAAAATTGCAGTAGTTAAGACATGTGACTTGCTGTAATTTAATTTTTGGTATAAATTGAAGTTTTATTAATTTGATCATTTATTTCTGATGAGTCATTATTGATGAAACACAGTGTTAAATGAGAAAAAATTTTGCTAATTAATTTTCTACTAATTTGTAATTGCTCTTTTCTTTTAAGAACATTGAGCATTCATTTTGTAGAATACATTTTAAATTGTTTAAATATATATATATATATATATATATATATATATATATATATATATATATATATATATATATATATATATATATATATATATATATATATATATATATATATATATTAAGTGTTTTAGCGATTTGTAGTACCTAAAGTTAGTACGATGCTGTTATAATGTTTTAAAACTTTAAAATTAGTAGATAAATATCTCCCTCCGCAAATTTGCAAAAAATTTTAAACAGAACTTTGTTATATCTGTACAAAAATTATAAAATAAAATTATAAAAAAAAATATAAAAGTCACATTTTGCTGCATTGATAAATAAAAAAAAGTCTAATGTCTACCTGAAGAAAACTGGATCAGGTGTCAAGGCTGCAAAATAAAGGACTAACATTATTTATCTACAGATGTCATTTTAATTTTTATTTTAATTTGTTTTATTTTATTTTTATTTGATAAAGTTGTGTTTTAAAAAAAGTATTACTTTATTCATTTTTAATTGATTTTTGTTTCAAAGTTATTAATTTTTACATCTTTATCCTAAATATTTTATAGAGATTTAAAGTATATGTTTAGTAAATAACAAAGGTGTATACAGATTGTATAACATTTTTAATAGTATTCGCAGTAATGCATTAATTTGTTTTTTGCTCAGTAATACATTTATTCATTTATCTGGCATAAAGAAATATTAAATATCTTTCTGGTTACAGAGTATTGTTTTATAAAAGAAAATATTTAATTGTTATTTTAGATTCTATATCGGTTAGAATAGCATAAACTTTCTTTGATAATTTTTATATTATATTTATGGATAGTTTTCTAGATAATTTTTAGATAGTGCTTTCATGCAGTCGTGAAAACAGAGTAGATTTGCATAATAAAACAAGTTTTTAGTGTTTGTATTAAAAAGTATTCGAGGAGACATAACATTAAAATTTAATACATGCGCTTTTTTTGAATATTTTATAGGATTTTGTTTTTGCTTTCAAAAATGAAATGGTTGGATTCATGAATGTATAAATAATGAATGAATTTGCAATTTTAATTGAAATACTCAAGATACATTGTATATCAGACTTATTTTTAGTAAAATGTACAAGTGTAGAATCTTTACATTTGTATGAACGTAAATGATTTGATTGAAAGGTTAGAAACCAATAAAGGATTTGATTGGTAGATTTTTGAATTAATACAATTCAAGAAATGAGAAATTGAAATTAGTTATTCTAATTGACTAAAATACTCCAGAGTTAAAAAATAGTGTCACTACTACACTACATTAAACATTATATTTGAACGTTTCTTTAAAAGTATAAAACTTGCAAATGTAGTTTACCGATACGAAGTTACCAGAATTTTATATTAGTTGGATTATAAAAAGTTAAAAAAATTACTTTTATTAACAAAATTTATTAAACGGCAGCATGTTATTTTGGTTAATTTGAAAAAAGGTTTGAAATGGTTTACATGTTTGACAAAGTTCTGTAAATTTTATTCAAAATAATTAATTAAAAAACTTAGTTAAAAGCCTAATAAAACAAGATTTGTCAATATCACGGAGATAGAGAACAGTTTATCAATATTACGAGATAATAAAACATCATAATAGACATCTTAAAAATATTTAATGCAGAAATTTCATAATTATGATTATTATGGTTTTAACAATTTTTATGCTCGACCAATCGTGTAGTTTTTTTATTCAACGTGGAAAAAATAGCGATATTGTATCTGGAAACCCTGAATATTGTTCAGGGTTAACGTTTTGCCAGTGCATAAACAGCACATTTTTAGACTTTGATTCTAAATTAAATTGCGGAAACCAATTACCAGGTAAGACATTATTAGCAGGAAGTAGGTTTAATAGCTGGAAGTAATTTAATTTTATAAAAGCAAAAGTATAAAGATCAAAATTATTTTTCCTGGATTTATTTTCGATGAAAACTTTTACTTTCACTATTTTCTTCCTCTTTTTTTTATATTTATTTTGAAACATTTTAATGAAATCAAGGGACAAGCAATCCAAAAAGACAAAACTGTTTTTATCAATAAAATTAAAAATTATTCAACTTTAATATAATTTAAAGAATATTATTACGTACATATATATATATATATATATATTAGGGTTATGATTTAAAAATATTTAAGAAAATTTTTAATTTCATGTGGTCGCAAATAATAAACTTTTTGTTTTTTTGTAAAAATTATTATTAAAAAAGTGGTTCTAAAAAAAAATCCTGCACCAAGACACCCAATGACAAACATAACGCGCGCCGTTAAAGATGGCAGACGTGACTTTGTGAAAAAATAAGAAAACAAAACATAAACATTTTGTAATAATAACTAAATATTAAAAGATAAACTTATCTTGTCAAATTTGACAATGGTAAGAAAAGAAGACTTCGAAGCTTTAGTTAGTAGAGTACTAAAATTGGAAGCGGAACTCCAAATAAAAGATAAAGAAATAAATGACCTCAAAATAGTAGTAAATGATATGAAGAATCAATCGAAACTCGTATCAAACTCAAGCGATGTATCAAATACATGGTCCGATGTAGTAAAAGGGAGAAAAAAAATACATCTGTGCAACTGGATTTATTAAATGTAGTGGTTAAAGAATCTCAAGACAGAGAAATAAGGCAAAAAAATTTAGTAGTTTTTGGATTTAAAACCTCTACAAATAAGGACGAAAGCGTGGCGAAAGAAGATGACAAACAAGAGTTACAAAATTTATTTAAACAAATTAATGTTAAAGTTACTATTCAGCGAGTTTTTAAATTGAATACGAGAACCGACAAACCACCTCCAGTTATTGTTGTTTTAACTAACAAAGAAGAAAAAAATGCTGTATTAAAAACTGCTAAAAACTTACAAAACTTATCTGAAACTAATAATATCTTTATTAATGCAGACATGACAGAAGCAGAAAGATTTAAGATGAAAGCTCTTAGAGAAGAACGTGCTAAATTAAATGAAGCTAACCAAGACCTAAAATACTATTATGGAATTAGAAATGAACGTGTTGTAAAACTGTTAAAAAAGTAGCTATATGAATCAACACAACCATATCAGCAGATATCTCCAAAAAAGGTATTATATGAAAATTTAAATAATATAACAAAAAATCCTAATGATAGACATTTATTAAATAGTAACAAAAGACTAATAGTGTACTATACAAATTCAACATCTTTAAACAATAAAAAAAATGATTTTAGAGCTTTAATTGATATTGAGAAGATGTTTTTGCTGTTACTGAAACATGGTATACACCTTTATCAGATGTCAATATTGAGGGTTATGTAATATATAGAAACGATCGGCTGAATGGTAAAAAAGGGGGTGGTGTTTGCATATACGTTAATAGTTCCATAAAATCATATGAAATCAGTAATGTTGAACTTAAATCCGATCTTATCGAGCAAATATGGACATGGATTGAGTATGGTCAAGAAAAAGTTTTATTAGGTTGCATATATCATCCCCCTGACTCATCCTGTGTCACCAATAAAAATATTATAAGTTCTATTATAGCAGCTAAAAGAGCACAAGATAAAAAACAATTCACTAGTATAATAATAACAGGTGACTATAACTACAACACTTTAAAGTGGAAAGACAGTGTTGAAGAATCACATAGCCAACAAGCTGAAGATTTTGTAGCATGTTTAAATGACTGTTTTTTCGAACAATGTGTTACTGAAGCAACATTTCAAAGCAACGAAAATGAATTAACAAATATACTTGATTTAGTAATTGTAGATGATAGTAAGCGTATTTTTGGTTTATCCCATTTGCCACCACTTGGTTTGAGTAGTAAAGGACATCATATTCTAAAATGGTTTTATAAAATGAACGATCGAATAGATGACTTCTCTTCATCAACTAAAAAATTTGCATATCGTAGAGGAAACTATGAAAAAATTAATGTTTATATAAAAAGCATAAATTGGGCTGACAAATTTAAAAACAAATGCATTGACAAATGTTATGATAAATTTTTATATCATTATAATCAATCATGCAAAAATTATATACCTATTGTAAAACTAAAAAATAAAGCAAGTGAAGTTTGGATGTTAAATAGCTTGAGAAAAGAAATCAAGTAAAAATAATTACTGGACAACTAATAAAAAAATGAACTGGTCTATAGCTGGCTCAAAAGAAAAATATAATAAAATGAAAAGAAACATTTTAAAACAAATAAATAACTCTGTTAAAAATTACGAAAGAAACTTGGTAAAAAAATGAACCTAAACTACTATATTCATATATTAGAAAAAAGCAGAAAGTAAAAAATCATATAAGAGCACTTAATGATAATATTGGTTCAACAATGTATGACAAACATAGTGTTGTCGATATTTTTAACAAGTATTTTCATTCTGTCTACATAAAAGAAGAAAATATAAATGATTGTAATTTTGAAGTACAAACAAATAGTAGGTTTGGAAAAATATTCGTTGATCAAGCACTTGTGAAATCATATTTGTCAAAATTAGACATTAACAATTCTAGTGGGTATGACGAAGTAAATCCTTATGTGTTAAAAGTCTGCTCTGAAAGTTTTTCAATACCACTTTCCATTATCTACCAACAAAGTCTAACAAATAGTGATATTCCTAATCTCTAAAAAATGGCAAATGTGAGTCGCATATTTAAAAATGGAAGTAAATTGCAAGCAATAAATTATCGACCAGTATCTTTGACATCCATACCTTGCAAAGTACTAGAAAAAATTATAAATGATAACTTAAAAAACTATTTAGAATCAAATAATCTTTTCTGTAAACAACAACATGGTTTCTTAAAGGGTAAAAATTGTATAACAAACTTATTAGAATCCTTAGATTTTTTAACATACCAACTAATGATAGGCAGTTCAATAGACATTTTATATACTGATTTTCAAAAAGCATTTGATAGAGTGCCTCATGAGAGATTAATATCAAAATTATGTGGTTATGGAATAGAAAAAGAAATGCTAAATTGGTTAGAAACATATTTATCAAATAGAAAACAACGTGTTATAATTGGTGATACAAAATCAGATTGCTTAGAGGTGCTAAGTGGTGTTCCACAGGGTTCTGTGCTTGGACCATTATTGTTCTTGCTATATATTAATGATTTACCATCTAAAATTAAAAATAAATGCGAAATTTATGCAGATGATAACAAAACTATAGTTAACAACCATTATACAAAAATCAAAATTTATAAACAAAATTTATATATAATTTATTTAATAATAAATATATTTATAAACAAAAAAAAACAAAATTTATAAACAAAAATTATAGTTAACAACCAAAAACTATAGTTAACAACCAGGTAGGCTCAAAGAGCTTGCAAGACGATATTAATAATCTAACTGAATGGTCCGACAAATGGATGATAAATTTCAACATCAAAAAATGTAAAATCATGCATTTTGGAAAGCATAATAAGAATTTTGAATATTTTATAAAAGATTCAAAATTAGATTCAACAACTAATGATGAAAAAGACATTGGATTGTTAATTTCAAATACTACGAAGTAGAGTCAACATGTAAATATGGTTGTAAATAAAGCAAATAGTCGATTAGGTCTACTAAGCAAATCATTTACTTACAAAGACAAAAACACAATGAAGATTTTGTATTGCACTTTTATAAGACCTTTTCTTGAACATGCATCACCAATATGGAACCCTTATAATAAAAATGACATACATAAATTAGAAATTGTTCAACAACGAGCAACAAAGTTGATTCCAGAGTTAAGACACCTACCCTATGAAGAAAGGTTAAAAAAACTCCAACTGACTTCTTTAAAAATCAGGAGATTAAGATATGATTTAATTCAATATTATAAAATATTTCATAATTTGGACAAAGTGTGTTGGTATCAACAACCAAAAACAGCAATTTCAATTTCAGCAAATGGTCCAGCTTCAAACATTAGAGGACATAAAGCACGTGTAGATATTGAGCTGATAAAAAGAAACAGACCAAGGGAAAAATTTTTTACAAATAGAGTTGCAAAATGGTGGAATAAACTACCAGAAGAAATCATCTCCGCGAAAAGTGTAAATATCTTCAAGGACAAGCTTGATAAACATATGGTTATTATGAAACTCTGATCTCTATGACTATTATGAAACTGTTAATAGCAATGGCTCATAATAGATTCAACATGGCGTTGAATCTCAAGGAGCATAAATAAATAAATAAATGACTTAGTGGGTGTTTTATTTTACCAAAAATATTTTTTCCTAAAGTATATCATGTCGGACCTCAAGAGAAATAAAAACTTTTGTTTAATAAATATAAAAATATATATATATATATATATATATATATATATATATATATATATATATATATATATATATATATATATATATATATATATATATATATATATATATATATATGTATGTATATATATATATATATATATATATATATATATATATATGTATATATATATATATATATATATATATATATATATATATATATATATATATATATATATATATATATATATATATATATATATATATATATATATATATATATATATATATATATATATATATATATAAGTTGTTTTGTTTAAGTAAGGCGATTTTTTTAAATAAATTTGCATTTTCCTTTTTTCTTTATTTAGAGTTTTAAGTTTCATGAATTTAATGTTTAAATTTAAATATTATTAGATAATATTTATTTTCTAATTATTACAGTTTGTATCGGATTATTTAAAACAACTTGAATTATGGCATAATAACAATAGTTTCAAAATAAGATTAAAAAAGTTTGTATTAATTATAGTAACATTACGTAA